TGGCGAATATATTATTTCTCATAAAATATCTTTAAAAGATTTTTTTTGTTTCGTTTAGATATTATTCAACAAACTTCCTAAAACAAATGGAAATATCTTTAATTAGCTTTCCTCATTCATAAATCCCACCATGCATATAGACGTTATTCAGTTGATAATACAAAATCGAATATATTAGGAATCAAATATTTAATTTTCCAATATTTGCAAAATTGTTTTAATTTTTAGATCAAACCTAAACTTCTCGAGTACTTTTCATTCATCTATATAAAAAAGATCTTTTCAACCATTGATCCACAATACTAAACGTTTTCGTAATAGAGATTTATATGGCTTCTTTTAAACAATGTTCTTAGTACATTTTATATTTCACGTTTGTTTTCTTTTAAAAAATTAATTGTCACCTACTTTTCTTATGTTGCAGCTTTCGATTTTAAGATCTTTGGAAATTATGGACATCATCAACTCCGTCTCCAAAGAAACTATCAAATAAGGTATGCATTAAAAGGTTAGTTAGTCCTTCTTCTTATCTTCAGATACGAATTTTTTTTAATGTCCAATATTTTTTTACATTTTCATAATTTCATGTTTCCTCATAATGTTTGTAAATGATTTTCTTTTATAGGCTAACATAACAAGTCCATTCTATTAAAATCTTTTTCTTTAACGTAAAAAGGAAATGAATTTGTTAATAAAGTAAAGTTCTTATTCTTAATTTTCATTATTCTAATGTTATGTATTTTAATTGTTTTTATGATATATGCTTTTACTAAAACCTGTGGATCCGAGTTTTGGTTGGTAAGTGTAATTTTTCTAATCTTTTAAAACCTTTTACAACAATTACATGTTTTATATGGTTAACAATCACATCATATATATTTTATTTTCTTATCCAATGTATTTCATGTTTAATGTTTTCTAATATTTTTTATTGAAACTTTTAAATAGTTTCAAATTATTATAAACATTTAAACTTTATTAAAAGTAAAATATTATAATTATTTAAACATTTAAAAAAGTTTATTTTTATAAAACGTTTTAAATATTTATAATATTAGGAATTTTATAAAGTTTCAAATATTAAATAGTTGAATTTTATAATAATTTATAAGAAATTTAAACATTATAAATATTTACAAAAGATATTAATCGGGACGGTATATTACGGGTGAAATCCTAGATATAACAATCAAAATACTATTATGAATTTTGGGTCGATATTAAATGAAGTTTCGAATATTAGAAATATTTGAATTTTATTGGAAAATGACAAAATGATGTAGATTTCACGGGACAGAGTTATATGGTCAGACGGATTTGGGGTCGATATTAATACAGTATGATATACTACAGGTGAAATCCTATAATTAACAATCAAAATATAACTATACAATCTTAAACACTAAACAAAACTAAACAAATAATATTAACAAAACAAATAAAACTTCAAATTTTAAATCTTTAGTTATAAGATATCGTGTGTACCATACATTTAAATCAAACAAAACAATAGCATATATCTATAGATCATCTTAAAAAAAAATTAATTTTATTATTATTTAATAAAATTATAGACCTGCGGTGTACCGCGGGTTAATATCTAGTTTTAAGTAACGTGTGTGAAAGAGTAAAGTATGATTTTCTTGATTTTATTAACAACAAGGAAAGAATATTTTATTCTGAAACAGAAAAAAGCCCTTGGTTAAAGAGTTACCGTGGAATATAAGAAAGGAATGCAAGAACAGAATTCACGTGTTATTAAAATAGCTTCATTTATAAATTTCCGGTCAAATAGTTAACAAATAATCTAATCCCTTATATATACGTACCTTGAGTAAGAAAGCATGATACAGCAAATTTTGATACTTAACGAGCTTAGTTTTTCCAGACAAAAAGAGTAATAACAATGCAAGTGATTCCACCAAAAATAAAAAAGATATTAGACAAGTGGAACATCAGAGGACTTGTGATATTATCTCTGTTGTTCCAAACGTCTCTTATCTTCCTTGCACCAATGCGGAAACGCACATCAAAGAAGTTGCTCGCTGCGTTTCTATGGACCGCATATCTTTTAGCGGATTGGACCGCTAATTATGCGGTGTCTCAGATCACTAAAAACCAAGGGAAAGAACCAGAACCTGACGATCCTCCAAAAAACAAGAAGCTTCTTGCTCTATGGGCACCATTCTTGTTGTTGCATCTTGGTGGTCCGGACACGATTACCGCGTTGGCTCTTGAGGATAATGCGTTATGGCAACGTCATTTGTTTGGCCTCGTCTCTCAAGCGCTTGCAGGTAAGAAAGGGTGAACACGATTCATATATATATATCTTGGAAACTAAATTATATGTGCATTGCATGAAGATAGAACATTATTTATCACTTATCAAGTAACAAATAGTAAAATGTAATATAGGCTTTTTATTGGTTGGTATAACCAAAACTCTACAACGCGGGATGGTGAAAAAACCGCAGAAGTCGATATTAAACCACTTGACTAAAAACATTTTTCCGCCCATTTCATTGTTTTAATGAAAATAATAGAAAGTCTATTGTGATTAATTAGATAGTCATTAACTAAATCGTTAAAAATCAATAACAGGTGGATCTATATGTAGAAAGAATCTCAATATTTTACCGTTTTAAGGATTAATTAGAACAAAACTAACCTCATTATTAAGGTTATAAGCCCTTTCTTATAACATTGTGATTTTTATGTCGTTTTCAGGTGTTTATGCGGTGGTGCAATCGCTAGAAAACGCACTATGGCCACCAATCACACTTTTATTCATCACCGCAACGATTAAATACGTGGAGAGGACACGAGCATTGTACTCAGCGAGCTTGGACAAATTCAAAGACAGAATGCTTCAACGAGCAGACGCTGGTCCTAACTACGCTAAGCTAATGGAAGAATACGCTTCAAGAAAAAAGTCAAATCTCCCAACTGAAATCTTCTTAACCGACGAACCCGACAAGCACGAGAGACCCCCTACACTCGTTATACCGGACCGAGATTTAACCGATCTCGAAATCGTTCAATACGGCTACAAATTCTTCAACACTTTCAAAGGTCTTGTTGTTGATCTTATTTTCAGTTTCCGTGAGCGAGACGAAAGCAGAGATTTCTTCAATAAGTTGAAACCGGGAGAAGCTCTTCGGATTATCGAAACCGAGCTTGGATTTCTATACGAATCGATGTATACGAAAACCGCAATTCTTCATACGGGAATCGGTACTCTGTTTCGGTTAATTTCCTTTGGATCGCTTCTTTCTTCCTTCTTTGTCTTCCATCGTAGGCCACTTAAGTCTAAGGATTTTCATGGAGCAGATGTTGTGATCACTTACATTTTGTTTATAGTTGGTATCGCACTTGATCTTGCATCAATGGTCATTTTCTTGTTCTCGGATTGGACATTCGCGGTATTGAGAAAGCTTAAGGATGATCCAGAGGAAAAGAATAATAGTTCTATCGACTTTTTACTCAATTGGTTTCTCGCGTTTAGGAAACCGCGTTGGAAGGAGCATACATGCAACGGAAACCAGACCCACAAGGTGCTCTCGACGGGGTTTTTGTCACGGAGATGGTCAGGCACGATCTACGGATTTAATTTCATCGGATTTTGTCTGAAAGCCAAAGTTTCAAGAATCCATAAGAAGAGAAACTGCAATGTTTTAGTGTGGGAATCCGTGGTTTCGCTATTCGATCTGGTGATCAGAAGAATCAAAATGTTGTTTGGATCGATCAAGAATGTTAATAGATCAATAAGAAGCGTGCTCCGACGGTGGTCTAAAAAGAATCGGATGATTCGTTACACGGTTTACCCGATATTCCTCGTATTCTTTGCCGGTATTCCTGAAGTTTTTAGAGTCCTTTGGAAATACATTGATCGAATCTTCAGTGTTAAATCTTATCTAGACGAGATTAGGTTCATTTCGAGAGAGCCGTTGACGAAGAATCAATGGGAATTTATATTCAATGAGCTGAAGGATAAGTCCAGCTTTGCGGAAACACCTGAAGTTGCAAAGAAAGTGTCTTGGGCGAGAGGAGAATGGGCTTTACGAGATTCGAAATTGGCGGAAGTTGATACATTGATGCGTTATATAGAGAAAGTTGATTATGATCAAAGTCTCCTCCTTTGGCATATTGCTACTGAGCTCTGTTTTCAAAAAGAAGATGTTGGGAAGATGGAGAATCTGAGCAAAGAAAGTTATGATGACCGAGAATTCAGCAAGATTATATCGGATTACATGATGTATTTGTTGATAATGCGACCGAAACTGATGTCAGAAGTGGCGGGAATCGGGACTATACGGTTCAGAGACACTAAAGCTGAAGCTGAGAGGTTTTTCAAAGGACGGCAAATCAAGGACTTAAGAGATATGAAACGAGCGAGTGAGACGGTTTTATCGGTTAGTACCGATATTGAACCGATTCTTGTGAAGGGAGATCGAAGCAAGTCGGTTCTTTTTGATGCGAGTATGTTGGCCAAAAAGCTTCAGAATTTGAAAGACAGTAGTAATGAAGATGGGAAATGGAAAGTGTTGAGCAAAGTGTGGGTTGAGTTGCTATGTTACGCAGCAAGTCATTGTAAAGCGACGGAACATGTGGCGCAACTTAGCAGAGGCGGTGAGCTACTTAACTTTGTTTGGTTGTTGATGGCTCACTTCGGATTAGGAGATCAGTTTCAGATCAATAAAGGAGATGCTAGAGCTAAACTCGTTGTAGGAGAGTGATAGTTATATATAATATCTTTTTATTTTATTTATATTGTGTGTCTGTGATTTGTAATATCTTTTGGCTCTGTTTCCAATTTCAAGCACATTTCATTTGATTGTCGACTCATTACCGAAATCAATTTGCATTGATCTGTAATACAAAAAGAATTTGTCGACTCCTTTCGGACATAGACTATTTCGTGAAAAGACCGGCTAAACCGTTCATTAGAATCGTCCAAAGCTCGATTTTAGGAAGAAAAAAAATACGAGGAAGGAATAAAGTATTATTTGCTCGAGCCTTGTCTTACAAGGAATACTCTAGGGTTTTGGATCAACTTAGGGTTTCGAAAAAATTGGCAATTCGAAAAGCGTTTGGAGAATTGGTTAGAAGTCGATAAGATGGATTAAGTTTTGGTGTATAACCATGAATCTGTGAAAGCTTAAGGGACATGTGTTTTACATGATCAGTAGCGATACTTTGCTTCTTCTTTTTTTTTTCTCCACAGAGATTTTGTTCTCTTCCATTTCTTCGCCTGATGAGGAAGTAAGGAACAGTATCTTGATGCTTTTCCTCTGTCTCTGTTCGATGTCTATGGGATGTTGTTTTCATGTTATAAAAAAGGAAGACTTTTTGAGTTTCTTATTGAGAAAAAAAAAAAAAGAAAAGAGGACCGCTCACAAGGTGTTCGTTAAAATACCTGAATGACATCTTTTCGGTAAAAAGACTTTATAAGGTACAAACAATGTTTTCCCTGTTCTTTTCAATAAAAGCTTTTTTTGTTATTTGGGTTGCATATAATCACTGTTGGAGACATATTACACTCATTGGAGTTTTGCACAAGCCAAAATGTCGAACATAACTTAGGATCATAAATCTTGTTTCTAGTCTTTAAACAATGGTTACTACATGGAAAAGTATTCGTTTTGGCTTCGCTTCATCGGGTTCATATTTCGAGTTGGTTCTTCATCAACTAGTCCCATGTCTGACAGATATCTTGTTAGCTAGGTCTGCAAGTTGTCTCTCTGATTTTTTATTTCGAAGAACTCTACGCATCATATGCAGTTGAATCACACACATCAAATCTTCGTCCTTTGTAGGGAATTGCAGGTACTCGTTACCATTCTGATCATGACGCAGCAAGAATATAATATCGACAAGATTATCAGCTACCTATCTGAGTTGCAGACTCAGCTAAGTCAAATACCTCTATCCAAGAAAGCTACTGTTAACAACAATGAACAGCCGAGCGAAAGACGAAGTGAGGAGAAGAGACACACCAAGTCCTGTGACAGACGAAATGAGGAGAAGAAGAGACCATCTTGGTGGGTTCGGTTCAGAGAAAAACTTAAAAAAATTTGTAAGGTGAAGAACGAGGCAACAAACCATGCAAGCGATAGTAAAGACAGTCAAGGTGGAAGCAGAAGAATCATGCGAAACACTGACGAAGATGAAGATGCACACCTCGAGATCCGGAAATTGCAGAGTGACATTGGTCAGATGATATCTGCATTTAAGAATTGGACTCAGTTTCAAAACAATATGAGCAAGTCGTTGGAGAATGATCTTCGTTCAAGTATGGTTGGAGCGACACTACAGAAGACGGGTTCAATCAAGTCCCGCACTCAGGATCTCAAAGAAATCAGAAGAAAGATCTCCGCCTTGAAGTGCCAGATCCCATCATCGCTCTACAAACAATCATCCAGGGTGTTAAGCATCACGGAATCTCTAACCGATGAGGATATTGATGAGATCAATGAGACCGGGAGCGACATATACTTGCCCGACCTCCACGTTTCTGAAGATTTCAAACATTCCTCAGGTTTTGAAGACGTTGTAGAGAAATTTCAAGGCCTTGATGACTTCACTCAGAAGCTCTGCTTGTTGTCCTTCGCCGTGTTCCCGGAAAACAGAGAGGTTACAAGGACAATGTTGATGTATTGGTGGATCGGAGAAGGTTTCATCGATTGTGATGATTCTGAAAACTCAGTAACGAGAATTCTTGATGCATTCTCAACAAAAAAATTACTTGAGCCGGTCGAAGATGAGAGGAAACTGCTACCAAATAGTTATAAGATGGAGCCTCATGTGCATTCTGCAGTTATATACTTAGCCAAAAAAATGGATCTATTTGAACTCTACAACCATAATGGGAAGCTTATCATGAAAAAATCATCGAAGAAAAAGGTCTGCCTAGTAAAAGATTCCTCGTTGCTACGAGACGCAAAAACATCTGCAATGAAACCGAAAACATTGCAGACGGTTTTCAATTCCTCTGAACGGTTCCCTGATTTCACATTCAAGTGGTTTCCGTTAATGGATTCAATTAGAGTGCTTTATTTAGGAAGATGGGAGCGGATGGCTGAGCGCCACATTGAAGTTGAGAGCACGGAGTTTCTTAAAAATATGAAGTCTCTGAAGAATCTGAGGCTTGCAAGTTTTCAAGGGATCTCAGGAATCAAAAAGATCGATAACTCAATTTGTGCGCTCCAAAAATTGATGATCTTGGATCTTAGAGCATGCTACGATCTACAGGTTCTTCCTAACGATATAGGCTCACTTGAGAATCTGATTTACTTGGATGTATCAGAATGCCTTAAGCTAGATTGCATGCCTGATAGGTTTGAAAAACTCTCAGGATTACAGGTTCTTAAGGGATTTGTGATTAGTCAGTCAGATGATGAACACAATTGTGCAGTTAAACACCTGGTGAATCTGAGGAAGCTAAGCATAACCATAAAAAATTACCGTTTCAAGGCAGAAAATCTAATTGAGTCATTGAGAGACCTCAAGCAACTTGAGAGTCTGACATTCGCATGGAGAGCGCGATTCCCTGTGGATGACCGAAGAGGAGAAGAAACTAAAGAAGCAAAACTGTTAATGGGAATGGGCAACCAAACCAAGAAATGGGGAATAAGATGGCAAAAAGATCAATCAATAGATGATACCTATAAATTCCCTGATAGTTTGAAGAAGTTGGAGCTAGAATGTTTCCCTGAAACAGAACCTCCGAGTTGGTTAAATCCCAAAGATCTTAAAGAGCTTAAAAGACTCTCCATCAAAGGAGGAAAACTTAGTCGTATGAGTGATGAAAGTCGAAACACAGAAGACAAATGGGCCGTTGAGATCTTGCGTTTGAAGTATCTGCATGAATTCAAGGTTGAGTGGAGAGATTTGAAAGATCTGTTTCCAAAAATGACACTGTTGGAGAAATATAAATGCCCTAAAATCGCATTCTGTCCAACAGATGGTAATGGAGTCTGGAGGTCACAGCCAGAGACATCACCAAATATGTGAAAATAAGCTGCATAGTTTCTCAATAGCCTCTGTTTACTTGTTTAGATATCATGTATCTGTCTCTACACCCTGAATAATTACACATTCCTGCGTATGTAATTAAATATTTATCGTTCTTCTTGCCTTAATATCAAAAGATCGTTCAAATAGAAAAACAATCAAAACAATGGTCTTATTCACCCAGACAAGAACAGAACACCATGCCAGGGATTTCACAGCAGAAAATATCTTAAAAGAGAAACATGAAACAGTAAAAACATAACCGGTAAGATGATGTTTCAAAGCCGGTTCGTTATTCAACACACAAAGCTTCAAAAAAATATGAAAATGATTTAGAGGCGACGACGATCCAGATGTTCAGTATCTTGCTCCAGCTACGTTTATGATCAGCATTCTTGTGGTGGTGGTACATCACTGCGGTCAACCATAACGTATTCCTGCAAATACACGCAGTGTAAAATGCTAAGATGAAGCTGAAAAGAGACAAGATTTGTTGCAAGACGACTCAAAGACCTCCGACCTGCAAAACAGAAAAATATGATGCAACTAAATTTTTAACAATTTGGATTTGGAAGTGTTCTTCTTCTGATGAATTCTGAAGTGTGCTAGAATGTTAAAGAGAGGCATTAATGGTCCTAAATTTCCACTGGAGAGGTGATAGAGTAGAAAGTTTCAACTTACCGAGCTTGTAGTCTCCGATGATGGAAGGATTTTGTTGAACTTTGGGCAGTTCTCCACTTCCAAATTCAGATTAGTGTGAGTTGACACTTCCGAAAATGTTGGTGCTTGTAAAGCTTGCGGGTAGACCTGCCGGGTTTTGGGTTGGCCCAGGGATACTATGTGTATGTATTTTATTCAAATGAGTATTGCTAGTTTGATTTTGGTGATTCAATCTAATTTGCTTATACGACTATGTTACTACTGTGCATCAATTATGTACAACTAGATGAATACCCACACGTAGGTTTGTTTTGAAAATTGTTTAGAAAAATTATGTTGATTGTTCTTGTTGCTAATTTATGTTTATTTTTTAATTTTTCATTGTGTAATTAATAAAATTAAATTCATCTTATGTAGTAACAATTTTTATAATTAGATTCATTTTTGACTTAAAATATAAATTTATACATTTTCATGTATAAATCTGACTATTTATATATTTAAGATAATAATATTTTTTCACCATCATGAATACATACAACATCAATATAGGATATTTTTATACAATCATATGTAATTATGTCATTTGTGTGGTTTGAAACTCAGTTAACTTGATTATAAATATAATTTCTCGTTCTGTTAACTCTCCTGATCTAGTACTCCAACCACATCGTGATAGACTCATTATTAAATATTGGATAAACATAAATTGAACAAGATCTCAAAAGTTTTCATATGAAAATAGAAAAATAAAGCAAAAATAAAGTATCATTTAGGTCAACACTTTTAGATCTTCTATCATTGCATATAACCATATAAGAGAAATAGTCGTGTCTTGAATTATTTGGTATGTATAACGTTTCAAAGGTCCATCACTTGAAAAAACTTGCATGTCAATATCACCAACTTACCATAAGACATAAAAATAAAAAGAGACAAAATCATATGATAAGTCATATATGAACAACAAAACGTAATCATATATATATAAATTGGCCAACTCTCTCCATATGTATGAAAGTTGGCAAATTCTCTCCATATGATAGCAAACAACCAAATTACAAAAAAAATAAAGTTTTAGTCATAATCTAGTGGTAACCATTGATAAAAAAATTTATTAAAAAAAGAAGAGTATATTGAAAGTAGTGTTTTCTATTAACATAATTTTGTTTTTTTTTTCAATTTTGAATAATTAACTTAAAAGTATAGTTGATGGAGGATTTAATGCAATAAAGAACTTTTAATTTTTTCTCATTTAATTTGGCTATTTTTTTTTAAATAATACAAAATGACACATGTCATTTTCTTGTGTGATAAATTACAAAAAAAAATAACGTTTCATTCATTATCTAGTGGTAACCATTGATAAATTTTTTTTATTAAAATAAGATGAGTATATTGAAAGCAGTGTTTTTTATAAACATAATTTTGTATTTTTTTTTCAATTTTGAATAATTAACTTAAAAGTATAATTGATAGAGGATTTAATGCAATAAAGAACTTTTAATTTTTTTCTCATTTCATTTGGGTAATTTTTTATTTAAATAATATAAAATGACACATGTCATTTTTTGTGTGATGATGTGACACTAGACATGTCAATTAGGGCCGAAACCCGCGGGCTGGCCCGGTCCAGCTCTAAAAAATAGAAGGCCGGGCTTAAAAATATATGTCCAGAAAAAAATCGGGCCTTTCGGGCTAAGCCCGTTGGGCTAAAGGGTTTTTAGGGCTTAGCCCGGCCGGGCTCGGGCCGGCCCGGAAAGCCCTTAAAAAGAGATTTTAGCTTTTTTTTTTTGGAAATATTATTGTTTAATTAAGAGATTTGTTTAAAGATTTTTTTTAATAGAATTAAAAACCCTAAACCTAGTTTTCTAATTGTGTCTTACGATAAGTGTTATGATTTTATATTTTATTTAGTGTGGGTTTAAACAATTTATTTGGATTATTTATTTGATTTTAAACTTTTTTAAAACTAGATTCACTTTAGTGGGTTTTTAAGTTTCGTTTGACTCGTTTTATACATAGATTTTTTTTTTCAAGAGATATTATAAATTAGAAGAGTTTATTTTTCTCGAAAGAAAAGTCCAAAAAAGCCCGTAAAAGCCTTGTAGCCCTGTTAGGACCGGGCCGGGCTTCAAAATCTAGGCTCGGAATTTTTACGGGCTGGGCCGGGCCGGGCTCATACATATGCGGGTTTTGCGGGCTTCGGACCAGGCCGGGCTACCCCGATTGACATGCCTATGTGGCACTCATATGGAGAGAGTTGGCCAACTTTCATATATATGATTTGAACTCAAGTTAAGTAGGATTTCAAAACGAAATTTGAATAGTAAGTTAATTTTCAAATTGATTACATATACAATCTACATCATCAAACAAATGAAAAACCCAAATCACATTTTCTGTTTTATAATTTGTAACTTTGAGTTTTCTAGCAAATTCCCTAATTAATAGTCCAGATATTATTACCATTCAAAGCTAAGAACTTAAAATCATCCAAAATGTTAAGTAGCTTAATTTTTTAAAATTTAAAACTATAATAATAAAAATAAAATAAAAAACTTTAGAAGCTGTGTTTACCTTATTATTACAAAACAGATTAATCTTCAACTACAACAATTAAAAAGTCTTCCTTCCTTGTAAGCAACCAGAAGTTTATATGAGTAGAGAAGAAAGTCTTATTTGCTCGAACCTTGGTTTACAAGGTATAAATCTAGGGTTTCAAAAGAAAGTTGGGTTTTTTGGAGTATTGGTTAGAAGTCGATAAGATGGATTAAGTTTTGGTGTAACGATGAATCTATGGAAGCTTAAGGGTCATGTGTTTTACATGGATATCGATACTTTGCTTCTTCTTCTGTTTTCCACAGAGACTTTTCTTCTCTTATAATTCCATTTCTTCGCCTAATGAAGAAGCAAAGAACAGTGTCTTGGATGCTTTTCCTCTGTCCTTGTTCGATTTCTATGGGAAGTTATCTAAATGTTATAAAAAAGGAAGAGTTATTGAGTTCTTTATTCAGAAACAAAAGATCGCTCACAAGGTGTTCCATAAAATACTTAAATGACATCTTTCTGGTAAAAATACTTTTATAAGGTACGTGCTTATTTTTCTCGGAAATTTTTTTTATTTGGTTTGCATATATCTTATCTTATATATATAATATATGACAAGGTTTCTTCAAAACAATCTCTAAAAATGTGACATTTGGCGTTCTACTCTTTTGACATATGTCATTTTTAGTTTATTTTTATTTTAAGTGCAATAAATCTGTTTATTTTATTTTTGAGAACAATAACCACAATAGTCCTTAATTCAAATTATAAAATAAAATCAAAATTATTTGATGATAAAATAGTTTAAGGATATTTTGAATAAAGAGATATTTTCCTACATTTTATCTTTTTCACATAATTTATAGTAAAAAATAAAGATCAAATTATTAGGCGACAAAATAGATAATAAATATATTAATAAAATTGACTTTATCTATATCTTATTAAACCACAAACATAATACATTTAATTCTTTAATCATATATATTAATCCACCTTTTAATACTAAATTGTAACCTAAATCATATAAATTGTGTATTAACTTTTTTCTCTCTATTCAATGGCATTCAAACACACTATTAACTATTATTGTAACTTCCATAATTTAATTATTTAAAAATGAATGTATTTTCTCATGGTAGAGGTTACATTTAAATATTAATTTACTATAATTTATTTCATATTTATAAGAATAGCACAATACGACATACCAATCTCAAATCTCAACATGAGAGACCTAATATCCATAAAAAAAAACAAATACCTAAGGTTTTAATCGTAGATTTGTTTTTTTAAGTGCTATCTCTTCCTTTAATATGATGCTTTAAATTTAATTTTATTGGTTTCTAATCTTTTTTCCTTCATATGTAATTTTCCTTTGTTTTTTATGTCATTTTTCTAAGTATATTTCACTACATAATGTCATATGTTATTACGTTTATAATGGTAAGATATGATGTGTATATTTGAATTCTATTATTTTTGATCAGAAAATAAAGAAAATATTTCCTAATATATATGTTTTGTGTATGTAGACTATACTGTTAAAAATATCTCTATATGGTGATGAATTTTGTTTAGCTAACAATTCTAAATAGGTGGCAAGTTTTCAAAATCACTAAATACAATTTCAAATCTCATATAAAAATAGTTTTAAAAGTTATTTTACACATATATAAAAGTTGCTCTTTTTTTTTGCCAACATGAACCATATTTTTCTTCTTCCTTTAAAATAAATTATTATGAAAAATTAATTTTCTGATTAATGCGGTATAAATTGAAAAACAATTAACAATCTTCAACTTAGCAATTTTCAATAATTACTATGACATCTTATATATATATTTTTTTTCCTCTTTACTGTTGTTTTAAAACCGAGAATTAACATATATAAGATATTCTAATATTTGTTTTAATCGATATGTGCCATATTTTTCTTATTTTGTTTTTCTTTTCACTTTCAAATAAATAATGAACATCTTACATCCTGTTATTAATAAATGATTTTTTATTAATGGAGCATTAATTATATAAATTACCTCCTAAGACCATCTCCAATGTAAGTCTCAATATTTTACTCTAAAATAGAGCATGATTTCTCTCCAATGTATCACTTTATACCCTACTCTAAAATAGAGGAAAAAAAAATAGAGTTCCTCTATATATAGAATCATCTTCTCTTTTACTCTATTTTAGAGTGAAAATATAGAGTAGGGTTGGAGAGAATTGTGCTTTATAATAGAGTCTAGAGAAAAAAAAATAGAGTGGAGTTGGAGATGCTCTAATGATGTTTAAGTCGCCTACATTTTAAATCACTATTTCGACATTTTATATATTATAAAATTAATATACCTAAATTTCTATTATTTTAAAGTAAACAGATAACATAAGGGAAAAAAATAATATTGAATAAGCTCTTATAAAATCGATTTTACAACACTTATGAATACTACCGTTTAAAATTATGACTACAGATGCTTATAATTTCCTTTCTAATTTAAAAGACTAATAGCTATGTGAACTAACTATTTACATAAACAATGAATAAATCAAATTATCAAAATGGATGCAAGAGATATAAATGATAATTTAACATAACATCCATGATATAAATAGGGTGATTTTGAAAACTACCATGTTTTTTAAGATAACAAAATATTATCTCAACTCTCTAATTTTTTTCACTTCTTGTCCACCGTCCTTTTTTTTTTTTGACACAAAATCCTCTCATTATTTTTCTAATATCCCTGGAAATGTTAATTCACAAGCCTTTCAAATATATTGATAATGTTTTGTCAATTCATATGATTCATTTAAACATGTAAATTACAACTTTCTAAGTCATTATAGAGAATAAATAAATTGGAAGATTTTTTTTGCTAATACTTTTAGTGAATAATATGGAAGATTTTTTTGTTAATACGTTCTTTATAATTAATACAGGTTCTAATATGTTTTAGGTTAAACTAATTTATTTTTCTTACGATAAAATATATTCAAACTATTCCCACGCATCGCGTGTGTTTTTTTCTAGTATATATATATAATCGACTTTTGGTGACATTACACTTCTTCATCTGCATAATTATGAAGTACCCAAAATGTAGAACACAACTTAGGATCATAAAGCTTGTCTCTTTATATAAACCATAGTACATGTAAAAGTCTTTGTTTCGCTTCGGTTCATTCGGGTTAATAGTTCACCATTTTCTGATATATACTTGAATAATGAGACCTGCACTTAGTTCTTCACTTTTCAAGTAGTTGTAACCGTAGGCAGTTTTCTAGTCTTTTCATAATGGTTGTCAGTATAAAGGAAAGTCTTCGTTTCTGCTTCGGTTCATCGAGTTAATTTATCGCCATTTTCTGACATATACATGAATGAGACCTTGATAAGGTGCTTCAAATAGTCCCATAGCTGACAAATTAACTGTTAAACTAACTCCATTTTCTCTCTGTTTTTTTTTTTCTGTACTAAAATAGAAGAACTCTACGCATCAAACGCAGTTGAATCAAACACACATTAGATCTTTATCCTTTGTTGGGAATTACAGGCGCTCTTTACCGTTCTGATCATGTCGACGAAAGAATGTGATATCTATAAGATTATCAACATCCTATATCAGTTAGACTCTGACCTGGAGAAGATACCTCTATCCAATAAAGTTATTAGCCACAAGGAACAACAAGGCGAACAAAGTGAGGAAAAGAGATCTTGGTGGGTTCGGGTCAGAGCAAGTTTTGAAAGAATTCGTAAGGCGAAGAAGGACGCTTCCAACAATGCAAGCGACAGTGGAGGTAGTCAAGGTGGAAGCAGAAGATTCGTGCAAGACATTGAAGAAGTTCAAAAGAATGAAGAACTCGAGATACGGAAATTGCAGAATGATATTCGTCAGATGATAGCTGCATTTAAGAGTTTAACTCAGTTTCAAACCGAGATGAGCAATCATTTGGAGCGTGATCTTCGTTCAAATAAGTTAATAGCAATACTACAAAGAAAGAATTCATTTGGATCCCGCTCTCACGTTGTCAAGGAAATCAGAAGAAAAGTCTCCGCCTTGAAGTGCCAGATCCCATCATTGCTCAACAAACAACCATCAAGAAAGATAAGCATCACGGAATCTCAAACCGCTGAGGAAAATGATGAGATCAGTGAGACCGGGATTGACATATACTTGCCGGGCCTCCACGTTGCTGAGGAATTCGAAATATCCTCAGCTTTTGAAGAAGTTGTTGAGAAATTTCAAGGCCTTGATGAGTTCACTCAGAAGCTCTGCTTGTTGTCCTTCGCCGTGTTCCCGGAAAACAGAGAGGTTACAAGGACAATGTTGATGTATTGGTGGATCGGAGAAGGTTTCATCAGTTGTGATGATTCTGAAGACTCAGTAAAGAGAATTCTTGATGCATTCTCAGCAAAAAAGTTACTTGAGCCGGTCGAAGATGACAGGAAACTGCTACCAAATAGTTACAAGATGGCGCCCCATGTGCATTCTGCAGTTATATACTTAGCCAAAAAAATGGATCTATTTGAACTCTACAACCATAATGGGAAGCTTATCATGAAAAAATCATTGAGGAAAAAGGTCTGCCTAGTAAAAGATTCCTCGTTGCTACGAGACGCAAAAACATCTGTTATGGAACCGAAAACATTGCAGACGGTTTTCAATTCCTCTGAACGGTTCCCTGATTTCACATTCAAGTGGTTTCCGTTAATGGATTCACTTAGAGTGCTTTATTTGGGAAGATGGGAGCAGACCGCTAAGCGCCACATTGAAGTTGAGAGCACGGAGTTTCTTAAAAATATGAAGTCTCTGAAGAATCTGAGGCTTGCAAGTTTTCAAGGGATCTCGAGGATAGAAAGGCTCGAAAATTCAATTTGCAAACTCCCCGAGTTAGTGATCTTGGATCTTAAAGCATGCTACAATCTCGAGGTTCTTCCTAGCGATATAGGCTTATTTGAGAAATTGATTTACTTGGATGTATCAGAGTGCTATATGCTAGATAGCATGCCTAAGGGGATTGCAAAACTCTCCAAATTACAAGTTCTGAAGGGATTTGTGATTAGTGAGTCGGATCATGAAGATAATTGTGCAGTTAAACACTTGAAGAATCTGAGGAAGCTAAGTATAACCGTAAACAAATACTCTTACAAGGTGGAAAGTCTGATGATGTCGTTGACAGGACTCCAGAAACTTGTGAGTCTGAAAATTGCATGGGGAGCTCGTGAAGAACCTAACAAAGCAGTTGAGTCTAGAGAAACAACAAACGAGGAGAAGGAGAACCAAGGAGGTCCTGCAACAGAAAAGAAACTCAAAGACCCGATGGAACGAGATGATGACCAAGTGCAGAAGAAGGGACAGACGAGCAAGGAGGAGAAAGGAGATGTAGAAGAAACGGAAAAGCAAGAAGATGGCGTCAGTAGTAAGAAAGGAGATGGAATAAATGAAGAAGCTAATCTGGAAGACGGGACGAAGCATGATGAGGTAAAAGAAGAGAGATTAAAATCTGACAAGGTCGTCGAGGAAGAGAGGACGACAAGTCCTTCCGAAGAGGCAACAGAGAACATCCAAAACAAGTCAGGCGATCAGAAAGAGAAGAGCAATGTGGAAGGAGATGGAGATAAGGGGAAGGCTGATCTAGAAGAAGGAAAGAAGCAAGATGAAGTAGAAGCAAATGAAGTTGTTGAGGGAGAGAAGAAGGCCAGTCCTCCCCGAGATTCATCAGACATGATCCAAAAGAAGCCAGATGATAAAAGCAAAGTAGAAAACAAAGGAGATGGAGACAAAGAGAATGATGATTTAGATGAAGGAAAGAAAAGAGATGAGGTAGAAGCAAAAAAATCGGAATCAGACAAAGTTGTTGAGGGAGATGAGAAGGCAAGTCCACCACAAGAATCCAAAGACATGATCCAGAACAAGACAGATGATCAAACCAAATTGGAAAAGGAAGGCGAGAAGCATGATGAGGTTAAAGCAAAAAAACCGGAATCAGACGAAGTTGTTGAAGGAGATGAGAAGGCAAGTCCACCACAAGAATCCAAACACATGATCCAGAACAAGACAAATGATCAAACCGAAGTGGAAAAGGAAGGAGAGAAGCATGATGAGGTTAAAGCACAAAAATCAGAATCAGACAAAGTCGTTGAGCGAGATGAGAAGGCAAGTCCACCACAAGAATCCAAAGACATGATCCAAAACAGGACAGATGATCAAACCAAAATGGAAAAGGAAGGCGAGAAGCATGGTGAGGTAGAAGCAGGGATCTCGAAATCAGAGAATGGTGTTGAAGGAGTCAATAAGGCTAGTCCTTCCCGGGAATCAACAAACGCGATCCAGAACAAGCCCGATGATCACCAAAGAGGTGACAAACAAGAAGAGAAAGGAGATGGAGAAAAGGAGAAGGTTAATCTAGAAGAAGGGAAGAAGCACGACGAGATAAAAGCAGAGAGCTCAAAACAAGACAAGGTTACAGAGGGAGATGCGAAGACAAGTCCACCACAAGAATCTAAGGACACAATGGAGAGCAAGAAAGATGATCACAAAGAAAATAGCAAAGTGCAGGAAAAGGGAGATGGAGACAAAGAGAAGGCGGCTGATCTAGATGAAGGAAAGAAGAAAAATGAGGTAATAGAAGAGAGCTCAAAACCAGACAATGTTATCGAGGGAGATGAGAAGAAAAACCCACCACTGGAATCGAACGACACAGTACAGAGCAAGCCAGATGATCACAGAGAAATTAGCAAAGTGCAGGAAATAGGTGATGGAGAAAAGAACGGAGATGATTTAAAGAAGCTTGATGGGGGAGAAGCAAAGAGTCAGAAGTCAGATGGTCCGAAAAGTGACAACACAACGGCGGAAGAGATTCATGAAACACCATCACCAACCAGGAAATCAAAATCAAGGAAAGCAAAACTGTTAATGGGAATGTGCAACCAAACCAAGAAATGGGGAATAGGATGGCAAGAAGATCAATCAAGAGATGATACCTATAAATTCCCTGATAGTTTGAAGAAGTTGGAGCTAGAATGTTTCCCTGATACAGAACCTCCGCGTTGGCTAAATCCCAAAGATCTTAAAGAGCTTAAAAAACTCTCCATCAAAGGAGGAAAACTTAGTGGAATGAGTGACGAAAGTCAAAACGCAGAAGACAAATGGGCCGTTGAGATCTTGCGTTTGAAGTATCTGCATGAATTCAAGGTTGAGTGGAGAGATTTGAAAGATCTGTTTCCAAAAATGACACTGTTGGAGAAATATAAATGCCCTAAAATCGCATTCTGTCCAACAGATGGTAATGGAGTCTGGAGGTCACAGCCAGAGACATCACCAAATATGTGAAAATAAGCTGCATAGTTTCTTCTGTCATAACTCATAATAACGGCAAGAGCCTCTGTTACTTGTTTAGAGATCATGTATTTGCCTCTACACCCTGAATAAATAAACATTCCTGCGTATGTAATTAAATCTTTTAGAGCCGTAAACTGTCTTCTTGCCTTAGAATCAAAAGATCGTTCAAATAGAAAAACAATCAAAACAATGGTCTTATTCACCCGGGCAAGAACAGAACACCATGCCTGGGATTTTACAACAGAAAATATCTTAAAACGAAAAAACATGAAACAGTAAAAAACAAAACCGGTAAGATGAAGTTTCAAATCCGGTTGTTATTCAACACACAAAGCTTCAGCTACACGCAGGAAAAAAGTATGAGAATGATTAGAGGCAACGATCCAGATGTTTAGTACTGTGTAAGTAGATCTTGCTCCAGCTACGTTTATGATCAGCATTCTTGTGGTGGTGGTACATCACTGCGGTCAACCATAACGTATTCCTGCAAATACACACAGTGTAAAATGCTAAGATGAAGCTGAAAAGAGACAAGATTTGTTGCAAGACGACTCAAAGACCTCCGACCTGCAAAACAGAAAAATATGATGCAACTAAATTTTTAACAATTTGGATTTGGAAGTGTTCTTCTTCTGATGAATTCTGAAGTGTGCTAGAATGTTAAAGAGAGGCATTAATGGTCCTAAATTTTCACTGGAGAGGTGGAAGAGTAGAAAGTTTCAACTTACCGAGCTTGTAGTCTCCGATGATGGAAGGATTTTGTTGAACTTTGGGCAGTTCTCCACTTCCAAATTCAGATTAGTGTGAGTTGACACTTCAACTCCTACAACAACTTTCTCCAGATTCTCACAATGCTTTAAATTCAGGACTGGTAGGCTGGCAGGCATCTCCGGGAAAATCGTTTTGATTTTCGGGCAGCAATCTAAGCTTAGGTTCTTCAGATTCTCCAACTTACCAACAGAGCTTATAGTCTCCAATGAAAGAAGGTTTGTAATCGACAAAGTCTCCAGTGACTTCAAGTGTTCCTCATCCACACCAGCGAAAAGATCTTTTATGTCAAAGCACATCCTTAGCCAGCAACCCTTCACTGATTTGGTCTCGTTAAAGATAGATGTGAGCCTTTCAGGAGTACAGTCCACAAAAGAGACAAACTCAGCATTAGCTAGTGCGTCCTTATCTAGCTCATTAGTTTCATTGATCTCTAAGACTTCTTGTGGAATTTCGGAATCAACAAGTGATGATAGTGTCTTCTTATATAGAGCCCTCTCTTTGGGGACTTTGAGAAGACGTTCCTTGCTGACATCTCCCTTCTCAGTACGATCACTGGCGCGAGGTTCAACTGATTGAATCTCTCTTGTTTCTTCTAGAATCTCTTGGGATTCAACAACTGCATCAGACGAGCTGGCATTCTCAGACCTATCACGTTCAATGTCTTTCTTTATTTTGCTCCATGTGTCACGTTCAAAATACTTTCCATCTGCCCGGGTAAAACGCTTCACACAATGGATTTTGGTATCGTTTGGCAACTCTGGTGTCTCCACTTTGGTTCCAAACAGATTCACTTCACGTAGGTAAAACATATTCTCAAATGATCCCTCAATCTTAGCCAGCTTGGCACTGCCGGAAACATCAATGACTTCGAGATTTTCGAGTTTCTGGATGTTAGGGATAGCATCTAGGTTGATGCAATCCCGTAGGAGAAGTTCGTTGAGACTGGACAGCTCCTCGATGGTGGTAGCCAACTCACTTAGATTAGTTCCCGAGAGATTGAGAGTTTTGAGTTCATGCTTATCCTCAAAGCACACTTCAAGCATTTCCACTAAGCTGGTAGTGCCAGAGAGATCAAGAATTTGGAGTCCTGACAAGGGCTTCAAACTAGGCAACCTTCTCAATTTGCTACAGTTGCGCAACAAGAGCCGAGTCAAGGAGTGAAGCTTGGCGGCCACCGCAGAGTCCTGGAATATTGGCAGTCGCTCTATTTGGCTCTCGGAGAAGTCAAGAAGCTGAAGTTTTGTAAGAAGATAAAAGTTTTTGTTTTTGCTTTTGTTTTTCTTGCCATCTTTTGCGTTGTCGAAACAAGTTTGAAGCCCACGAGCACCAGAAATATCAACAACCTCGAGATTTAGTAGTTCCTGTATGTTTGGCAAATCTTCCAATAAAGGGCAGTCCTTGATGATGAGACAGTGAAGTTCCTTCAGGTCAGAAATGCTGGGAGGGGAAGACTTGATCTTAAGCCCAGAGAGGTGAAGACTTCGGAGTTCAAGAAATGACTTAAAGAAGTCGTCAGAGATTTTCTTCAGGGAGCTAGCACCAGAAACTTCAAGAGCATTTAGCTTTGTAAGAGCTTTAAGCTCCTCTATACCTTTCAGTAGGTCACAGTCCCTGATCACAAGAACCCGGAGGAGTATGAGATGATCTGTAAAAGGCGGGACAACAGAAGGTTTGAGCTGATCTGTAAAAGACGGGTCAACAGGTTTCTCTATGCGTTCAAATTCCAGTGTGGGTTCAAAAAGACCAAGTACTTCAAGCTCTTTCAGCTTCTTAAAGAACTTTGCAGGAGTTTCACGACGCAGACGATCTCCACTAACCAGAATCGTGGTAATCTTGTCTCCTTTCTTTGCTTGCACTGTTTTAATCATATCATCAAGTTGGGTGATTTTCCCTATACCTTTTTTCTTGTTACCACCATAGACTCTAGAAAATCCAAGCCGAGATTTCCCTAAATGCCCACCACGTCGAGGATCAATTACATTTCTCATCACCATCTCTGGTACCACCACATTGTTTTCTTGTATCTTCAGCATTCCGCGGTCTATAAGCTCCATGAAGATAGAATGACCATCTTGGTACGCCTTTTCGACAGACCTAACAGGATCAAAGTAGCCTTCAAGAATCCATTGTGTGATCAGGTCACGGTAGTAAACACAGCCACAATGCTCAAAGAAGTCCAAGCTATGCCAAAAACAATCCAATATTGTATCCTTCAATGGACCATCGGTTTTGAACAGCTTGTATGCAAGAAGCAGGATTGGATTTTCTCCACTTGCTTTCTTAGGGCTCTCAGAACTAGATTCTGGATTGGACGGAACAGCCCGCTCAGCCGAGAGAACCATTTCTATCTTTTCTTTTAGTAACTTCTCTTCTGTTTCCTTATTAAGCTCATAGGACTTGCTTTTAACAGTGTACTCTAGGGACTTGCCTAGCACAACGATTGCAGCTGGCAAATTCTTGCTCTTTTTCAACACTTGGGACATTATGTCATCAGTCCCATCAACCGGGACAACGAAGAAATCTGGCATACCCTTGAAAATGGATCTAAATAAATCCTCCGCCTCCTTGTCTTTGAAGGATTCAAGTAAAGCTTGCGACTCATTTGTGTTATTGAACGTAATTTCACCATAAGTGTTTGTGCCACCCCATAAGTCATCTATGGTAGGAGCCGGTTTCTCCTCTGCCTTGATCTGGGCATGAGACTCAGGTACCTCCTCATTGATTGTGTCGGTGTCACGTGATTTATTTTCGTCTTCACCATCGGTTTCATCTTTCTTTTCCGCGGAATGCGAATCATCTTCCCCCTCAATCTTCTCACCAGATTTTGTATCCTCCTCATTTTCCTGTCTTCTTGTAATAAGGATTTTTCGAGGTGTGTGGTCTTTCAGAAAATCCTCAAGGCCTAAATGCACCATCACCTCGTACTCACTGGTCATTCCTTCATCGTCAAGAATTAAAAGCAGATACGGCTTTCTTTCAGATGATGTATCTCCTCCGGCTACTACTTGAGTCGTTTTCTCCTTCCCGGCATCCGTTGGATTCTTCTTTTCAGGATCTTTAGCTTTTTTCGCATGCGGATCCACCAGTTTTTTCTCAGCCTCCAGTTTATCTGCGGCTTCCTTCATCTTCTTCTTCTTGTCCTCCTCCAATTTTTCCTCAACGGCTTTCTTCTTTTCCAAGAGATATTTCTCAATCTTAGGCTTCAAATCCTTTAGCAAATCTTCAACCTTCTTCTCTTCCTCCTCATCTTCATCTCTTTCACCGACTTCAGTCTCTTCAAAATCAGAATATAAAGATAGTTGTGAAGCTATGTTCTCATAAAGAGACCATTCATCTTCAAACTTCTTCTCCTTGACATACTTGTCGTTGACTTTAAACTTCCTGTTGAGATGCAACCAGAGAGTCTGGTAGCACAAGTCGTCCTTAGCAGCTTCTTTGTCTACCATTTGTGCCATCCTTGTCTTCCCGATTCCAGCTTTGCCAACCAACAATACTCTTTGATCACCATTTCCTCCCAGAGTTTCCACTATCTTCTTACACAACATCACATCCTTGTTTTCTTCAGACAAAAAAAAACAAAAACACAAATTCAGTCAAAAGTCAACCAAATTGGTTTTACATAGCATCAGCCTGAGAAATTCCCATTTTTCGTTATTCATTCACTATAAATATAAAATTCTTTTCAAAGTAAAAAAAAAAAAAAAGTCAAGTCAAATTAATTTCTTGTTCTTCAAAAAAAAAAAATCTTGTTCTACAATCATCTCTCTAGACAACTTGATGATTAGTTTTGACTTTTGAGTGACCAAGAAAAAAAAAAGAAAAAAAAGGCAAAGAAGACACAATCCAACCAGTTCTTAGATCAAATTTGAGATACATAGAAATATATATTGGTTGGTCTACAAGATCATGATATCATAACAAATTGCAGTATATTCATAGATCGAAAGCGAAAAAGAAAGAAAATGAGAGAGAGAGAGAGAGAGAATAGTCACCTGGTTTAATCTCCACCGTCTCTGCCATCTTCAAGGGATCAGATATTCGTCGCTGATGAGAGTTAGTCTTCTCTCTCTCTCGAGCTCTTTGCCTTCTCCGCAAAGGAAAGTCAACTTCTGCTTTGTCTCGCTCACTATCTCTCCCTTTACTTTCTCTCCATTGTCTCTCTTTCTCTCTCTTTTAATGTCATTTTTTTCTTAAGGGAAAATAAATAATCACTTTACGTATTTACATTTCTTTTCCTAGAGTGGCGGTGTTTACTACTCCCAGGTCCCAGCCAGGCTCTAAAATTAAATTATAGGATTTTCTGGTTAAAAATTTCTTTTTCTTAAGTTTATTTTCGATTTGTAAAAAATATTGTCAAACCTATGAAATTGAATTTACCCAATAATCTAATTACAGTAAAATCTCTATAAATTAATAATGTTAGGATTATAATATTTTATTAATTTATAATAATAAAACAATTATTTGATACGGTAAAAGTTTGAGACAAACTCTAACGAAAATTCAATACTTAAAAACATTAAAACCATAGATTATATTATATATATAATTATGTGATTATTAATTTATGATATTATTGGGACCATAATTTTATATAGAATTTTTTTAAAAAAATTATTATCTTATTAATTTATCGAATTTTGTTAATTTTTACACTGATCCGACTCGTGACCGACATAATTTTTTATTTTATCGTATTTATTAATTTATGGAGTATTAAGTTATAGAGGTTTTACTGTATTGTATGTATTTAAAGAGTTTTTACAATAACATACATATCACAAAAAATCACTAAAAAAGTATCTTGAAAATATTAAAGAATTTATTTTTAAAAAGGTACAACCAATAAAAAAGATAAGTTTATTTTTACAATCAAATAACATTTTCTTTTATTTGTCATTGTTTTCGTTTCATTTCAAATTATATTTTGGATTAGTGCTAATAAAAGAATTAAATTTTCTAATAGAAGAAATAATAAGATCGAACTTCAAATTATTATCATTCTTGATACTAAAAGTTATTAATTAAAATATATATTGTTATTCAAAATAGAGATGTCTGGCCGAAGTTATGGCCCGAATTCAAATATGTATGGCCCAAAGTGGTGGCCCAAAATCATCGAAATATATGGCGCAACTTAATTATACACATTAAGAAGTTGAAATTTTCCAGAAATAACAACAACACATGGAGATGGTGTTGCACGTTGGTGCTGTGCACGTATCCGATCCAGGGAAAACTATCAAGTAGCATCTTAATGACACATAAAACAAGACAATACAGCTAGCAAATGACTTTAATGATGTTAACCGATTTGGTCTTTTATTAACTCAGTCAAATGAATCTCTTGCAAATTAAACAGCTAGAAATCATGTTACCTTTTTTTTTGTCAACAGAAATCATGTTATTAGTTTTGAATTATGTGCCAATTGTACTTTAAAAATTTAAATAAGAATTACTCTATAATGTGAACAGTGTAATATCTCCATAAGTTAATAAAATATGACTCTCTCCGTTTTAAATTAGTTATCGTTTAAGTTTTTTTTACGTTTATTACAAAAACATTCAATTTTTTTGTTTTACCCCTAATTAATATATTGTTTTATGTGATATCATCAATTAATAAACTAATTTAAAACAAAATTTAACTTCTAAAATGACAACTAATTTAAAACGGATGGAGTATAATTTTATTATAATTGTCAAACTATACTACAATACAATAAATTGTACGCTGGAAGTAAGACATGATTATATCTTTATTTACTTATATTTTTTTTTGTTAAATTCCGGAAATTCCGGATTTTTGGTCCATAATAATCTCTTTCGGAATCTGGATTCCAGAATCAGCATTTAGTCTATATTTATTTAAGAAATACATTTTCATCCTAGAAAAAATTAAACCCGGACACTACAACTAGACTACCATCCATTTAATTATTTATCTCACTAATTGTAGACATATCTGTCATAAATGAGCAATGGTGATGCACTGAATTCATGTTATTCAGAACTCACCAGTTATTTTTGCTTGCATTGAAAAGTCTTCCCTATAAAAAAAATTTTAAATGACAACCGTTCCATTTTATTTTTTATTGCATAGTTTCATAACTTTCATTATTAAATGGTCTAAGACAATGGCTCTCCTGTAAGATGTGTGTATATACTTTCTTATTTTCTGTAAAACAATTAATATATCTTATAGAAATTCGAATTCAAATTGTAACATAACGAAAATATCATCACAAACTAGCAAGTTGGATATCTGATTGAAAATTTGTGTATATAAAAATCATTTAGTTAAATGCTAATCGATAGTGTAAATATGTACGTTGTTATATGAAATATTCTAGCAAGGTCATCTTAAAATTAAAAAAAAAAAAAAAAAAAACTAAATTTTCATAATTAACGTCTTGAATAGAGACAAGGGTTAGTTTATATATTTCGTATAAAAATATAGTGCTAAAATGCATGTTATCTTGATAATCTATTACAATTGGGTCTTTCTTTGTTATTTAGCCTATTTAATAATTGTTAAATTATTAGAGCATACACATTGGTGCACTCTTTACAAGAATGTAACTAATATTAAAACGAAAAATATTGAAAAAGTTGGAGAAGATATGCAAGTGGGATGTAGGATAACACCCGAGTGTTGGCATTATAAAAAAAAAAAAAAAATTTCTCTCTATATCTCTCTATCTCTTTTTCTCTCTCTTTTTTCTTCTGACTTTCACTACAGTTTAATAATTAAAAAATGTTTAACAAGTAATCTCATGAGTGTAGCGCTGTATATGCTCTAACTAGTAACAGACTTTTATAATTTAAAACGAGTGGGTCTTTGTTTTATTTTTCTCACCCTCGGTCTTTGTTTAGTGAAATCAAAAGTCGTGCAAATCAAAAGCAAAAATAGTGTTGTTTAATTTTGATAATGAGTCACTTATAAATTTAATTAACTTACGTGTCACAAATAATTCAAAGTTTCTCATGTGCCTCATTGTGCATACAAGGAATTCTCCCAATCATGATGAACACTATAGCTTCGATCGGTGACTTTGAAAATATTGTATTGTAATACAAAATTTAAAAGTCATAAGAAAAATAGCAATATAAATAGTGATGGTACAGTAATACAAATAAAAATGGTATGAAATGGCAGTACAAACATGAGTTACAACTGATAATATTTTAGCACTACAAATAAATACATATATTAAGAATGAAAAACTACTACCAAAATTAAAGATATTCATTGAATAAAAGAAAATTTAATATTCAAAATTAGTTTAATTAAATAAAAGGTTTTTTGTGGAAAAAAGGTTTTAAGTCGCCATTTTTGGCAACTTTATCATGAATCTTCAAAACAATATGAATTCTACTACTACGAAATCAAAAATAATACGTAGTATAACCAACACAACGTCATTACCGTCAAATTTTCAAATTTTTGATAAATAATACATCAATCACTACAAAAAAAGTCCACATTGATAGCACTAAACGATAGCGCATTTTCCTGACCTGCTATAATAAATGAGTTCGTGATTTTGGTTACTTTTTAATAGCACCTGATAAATGCTAAAACCAAAAATCCTTAAGCGGGAAACAAAAATGACCTATTCCGCCAACACTTAACAAAACTTTTCACAAACATTTCTTCCTTTTACCCAAAACGTATTGAGAACTTCTCACAGACTTAGACCTAAAAAAAATTGATTCTCACAGACTTAGTGGTCTCCCTCTCTCATCCTTTCGATCTCACTGTTCTCACTCTATCGCTACCATTTCCATCACTCTATCAGTAACGATGGGTCTATCAACAAATCTCCATAGCCTCAACCTTCGATTCCATTTTCTTCACCGGTCTCTGTTCTTTTCCATCCTAATCCCATCTAATTCATCAAAAAATTTCTCCTATACGCGAAATTCCCCTCCATCAAAGCCCAAGTCTCCACTAATTTTGAAAGGGGATCTAGGGTTTTTCTGATTTTGATTGAATTTTGAGTTTATCATTTCGTCTCTAACGAAATTGGTAATGCAGGTGGTAACGGAGGAGTCAAGAAGCCACATCGTTACCGTCCTGGAACCATCGCTGTTCGTGAGATTCATAAATCTAGTGAAGATGAGATTAGAGCCGAGAAGAATCCTCGCCCATTTGATGAAGATGATATCGCTCTCGTAAAGAATTATGTAAGCGTTTCTTTGGAACCTTATTTGAGTGGTGTTTCAGATTTTGTCGATTTTTACTCAAATTTTCTAGGTTTGGTTTCTTGAATGTGATAGTTTCCTCTCTTTCCTCTAGAGTAATTTCGAGCTAGATTTGTTCTTAATTGCCATTTTGTGAGCATGAATTGTCTTTTTTGTTCAATTTCATGCTATTTACTTACTTTGTTTTCTCATGAGTTTCGAGCTAGATTTTGTGCCTCACTGTTTGAATAATTCAAAGTTGAAACTTTCATAATATGAGTCATATACTTTGTT